TGCTGCTGAAGATTCAGTCTTTATTATTTTCTGTTGCATTATCCTCACTGGTTGCACACAATAATGAGCACACTGCACAACCAGTGTAATCCGATTCAGAAACAAATGACTCTTTTGAACCGGTCCAGCCTAAAAGAGGAATTAGTTCTTGTTTTAGATGTTACCACAAATAGTGTTGTGTTTGTTTAGTATATAATCAGAACTATTTATTTGAGGGTTTTCCTCAAAAGTAATAAAAGAATCATTAATGGAGTCATTATGGAACTGGAATCATTAAATGGAATATGATTCATAATTGGTTAAATTGCCTATGATTCAACATCCTACTTAAAATAGGACATAATTCTTTCCAGATGATGTGTTCCTTCACACACATCTTTGCACCGTATGTGCGCTTACTAAACCAGTATTAAAACTGAAACTATTAAAAGGTAATTGAAATAAAGCTCAAATAAAACATACTTGAGTATGAATTTCAAATGTAAAAATGTAAAAATTTTAATTTAAAAACCTACAAAAATTAGAACTAAATGAAATAAAACTGAAAACAAAAATAAAAGCTAATTCAAAATATTGATAAATATGGTAACACTTTACAGTAAGGTTTCATTTGGTAACATTAGTTCGCTACATTAATTAATCTCACAATTAGTTAATCGAAATAACATTTTAAAAAACTAATATTAACAGTGGTTAATGATTGTAGAAATATATTGCTCACTGTTACTCTACAATTTTTCAACAAATTAGATCCTATATTTAAAACCTGGAAAACTCTGACCATGCCATTCTTTGCTGTTTTCATTTTTATTAATGTTAAAATTTCAGTCATTTAACAACACATTTGAATGTTCTCTGCTGTTGGTTAATGGTCACATCAACATAAAGATAAACAAATAAAATATTTCAAATTTGGGTATTCAAGTGTTTTATTTTGTTTTCATTTTAAAATCATTTATTCGTTTGAATTTTTCATTTTTATGACTTAATTAATTATTAGCTTTTCATCAACTCATAAAACTCCTGCAGTTATATTGCACTGACTTCAATTTTCATCATGTAATTTGTAATCGGTTACAGACTACAATTTGTAAGTAATCTACCCAGCTCTGCCGCTGACATGTTGTAGTATAGTTAGTTGTCTTACTGATTGACGTGGGCTGTTATAACCGGGTTGTTGTTGTTGTTTTTTGTCCAAACCCTCATCCGCAGAGCTTTGAGAAGAGCTCTTTTGGTGTCCTGTTGTCTCTGGTTGAGTTCCCCACTCTTACTTACAATGGTCAAGCTCGACTGAAGTGTCCATGTGGCCGCCGCTGCAGATTTAATAGAAACTGGAGTGTAAATGAAGTTCTCTGTGCCAAGCTCTCATGGTCAGTGATGCTTCTCTGGTGGGAGAGAACTTGCTCTTTTTGCTGTCAGCGTTGCCGCCCCAGTCCACAGCTCAACAAGCTAATCTCCTTTAGCCAGCTGGTGAGCCTTTCAAGAAGGACTCTGGGTTCCAAAACTATATGTGAAGAACTACATTTGTGGAGTTAGGGTTAACTATAGGGCTGAAACTATTAGATGAAAGTATCGACACCGTCGACAATGAAAAAGTTGTCGACAAATATTTTTGTCATCGAATAGTCATTTTAGGGCCCTATAAAATCAGTTTTATTTTTTTCCAAATTCCGTTTAATTTTTTTCCAAATTCTATTTTTTCCATTTAAATTTTTCTGGATTCCATTTTTATTCTGTTTTAATTTTTCTGGACTCTTTTTTTAATGGTTAAATTACATTTTATCAATCAAAAAGTAATTAATTAAAATCATGAAAATTATACAATTTAACATCAATTTATTCAAAGTTTAACAAAAATGACCTGTTTAGGGCCCTATTAATTTTTTTTTTCACACCTTCTGTTTTATTGTTACCAAATTCTGTTTATGCATGTCCAATTATTTGAATGCATGAAAACAATTTCATTTATTAAAATGTATTTTTACAATAGCCTATGAAATATTGTTTCTTCCCCCTCAGAAATTCTGTTTTGTAGGCTATTTATTTTTTTTCAGGTTATCAAATGAAGGCATAAAACATTAATTCAATTAATCTATTAACCAAATAAAAATTAAACAAACTTTTTTTATTATTTAGTATTAACAATAAAATATTAAATAAATATTGTGTAATTATTCCGTAAAAAAATAAAGTTTTAATAATTTTAGTAATAGTAGTAGTAGTTGTAGTATTACGTACATTCTACTGAACAACAGTAATATATTTCAGGCACAATAATTTCTTCAAGTTAAACTGAACTTTTATTTTGACGGGTTGCCGTGAATACCTTTAAATTTCTGTGTGCATACGATATGACGATAGTTTCTCTCAAATGAAATGGTGAAATGCTCATGAAGTGACTCTGAGCACTTCTAGAGATTGTTTATGTTCATGTACTCATATACTGAGGTGGCAGATGCTGAAATCACCGCAAGCGTCACGCACGCTTCAGTATGTGTGTAGTAACTGAAACAGCCCATCTGTGCCTTTCATTCACACAGCGACACACAGAACATTCAGGATTCATATTTAAATAGTCTTTTTGTTGCTTAATATTTACAGATACAAGTCCGTATCGTGCTTTGATTTAAGTGTGATGACCTACTTTTGATTAATTCACCCAAACTTTGACAAATTCCGTGACGTTCCGCGTTAAACATTAAATTCCATTTTTATGACTGGATTCCGGGATTCCGTCCGCGTTTTCCGCATCGCGGAAATCATAGGGCCCTATAATTTGATCTCATATGACCTAATGTAAGGGTCTGCAATAACGTGGTTTGACCAGTGTGGCGCTTTAGTGCACGATTGTAATTCAACCCTCCCGCGTATATTTCAATAGAAGAAGATGAGTTTATGCCACATATAAACACCCAAACCAGTAGAGTGTGGAAAAGTTTTACAAAACTACAAACAAAAATGTGTAAAGGTCCCGATATTCTCGCGGCGAAGTTTTTTCTTCAGTTAGAGATAAAATATAAGCAAGCAGCGCTTTATAGTTAGCGAACATCCTGACTCTGCTTATAGCGACTTGTAGATGAATGTGTAAATATGTGCTGCAAGCTTTCCTCTCAATAACAACATTTTGTCTGGGTGCATCTTTACAGTATTAGACATGAAAAAACAGTGTCAGTCAATATTACAAATGGACAAATTAATTCTAATTTCAGTTAGAATTACAAATGGATTTTTTGCTATAAAGCAGCTCTATATGCATATGAATATGTATAGAATGTATAATTTGAACAAATTGCAAAAGCTGAATAATCAATCAAAGCCTATTGATCAATGAGTGAAATAATCGATGATTTGTCGATTAATCGCTCCAATAATCATCAGATTAATTGATTTTCAAAATAATGGTTTGTTGCCGCCCTAAGGTTAGCTAGTTGGTTTTAGTTTGAGCGAGATGTTCGGTAGCATCCATGCCTCTTTTTTTATACAGATGATCCGAAGAGGAGCTCTGGGATAAATAAAAGACTACTTCACGGGTCACCAAAATAGAACAACATAATTCAGTATCGATTGAGTCCCCAGGGTCTGAAATGAAGAGAGCCTCTGTGTTATTACTGTACAAAGAGTTCAGACCCCTCAGACATTGATCAGAGCGTCCTGCCAGAACCAGACCTCATCTGGGGAAAATCAGCGGCAGTTTATCTTATTCCGTGCAATTAATTTCAGTGTCGACCACATTAGGTAATACTGGCGTGTGGCGCCATCGATCTCGATATTTGACACAGTTATTTTCCAGCACAAATAAAGGAAGTCTTCAAATCAAAGCAAGTCCAACACTGGGGGGAAACTTGCAGTCAGAACTGAAGAGTGCCGTTTGATGGAATAAAGTGCTCATGTATTATTGACAATGGCACCGAAGGAGCTTTTAGAGGCTGACAAGTCATCAGTGACATCAGGGTTTGTGTTTATGTGCGCTTGCTGCATATTAATTAATCCAAAACACAATCCAATACTCATCCATCCAGTGGATAGTATAATGTGTTTATAATTAGAAAAATCTGACTCGTATTTGTGCCTCAATACAATGCTTCAGTTAGAAAAATATGCATGTGTTTATTAAATATTTATTTAGTTCAATTGTATTTAACTTGTAATAATTTAATTTTTACATTTTATTAAGTTATTATATATTTTAAATGATTTTTAATTAGATTTTATATTGCATAGTCCAGTAAATTAAATACTTTAAAAATGAAAAGGTACTTTTCAATCATTTTCTTTTTTCAATTTATTTGAAACTTGATGATGAATTATGATTTATAATTAATGAATAATGAGTCTCTATTTATTTATTTGCTTGTTTGTGTTTCAAATATTGTATTTTAACTTTTGCAATTTATTAAATTATTATAATTGTTTAATTAAATTTACATTTTGTATTGCCATTTAGTTGGTTAGTTATGTTTTTCTTTGTATAGTCTAATAAATAATTTTCTCTTCATATTTAGAACTTTATGGATACAAACGAAATGGTTATTCCTAATAAATGATGAATCTGGATGTATTTATTTATTTGTTTGCTTTTCAGTTTTTATTTTAGCTTTATTTTTTACGTTGTATTAAATTATTATTTTAATATTTTATTCATTAACATTTATTAACTAATAATTATTTGTTATTAGGTGTGTGTGTGGTTATTTATGCTGGAAATGTTTGTATAATATGAAACTTTTTGTATAATCCATTAAATTACTTTAAAAATGAAAGGTACTTTATTTCAATTATTTTCTCTTTATATTTGGACCTTGATAAATGGAAACAAAACAATTATTCATAATATATGAATGATGAGTCTGGCATCAGTGCAAGAACAGCTTCACATTATGAAACACTTGAGTTCAAATCAAAAGACTTCCAATAAAAACAGTAAAGCTATTATTATTATTCTTATTTAAGCAAGCTATTATTTTGACACTTACCAGTAACAGGTTATTTGTCTTTTACAGGTGGGAGTCATGGAGCGCCTGTGGCCCCTTCATCACCCTCTTCTGCCCCAGTGTCCGGCCCCGGCGTGGAGCCCACAGAGCCAGAGTCTACCTCAGTATCAGGAGGAGAGGAAGGCCGCTCCATCACGCCCAACCCGCCTGAACCAGAAGAGAATGACCCCGCAGTCAGTCCAGAGACGGAGAATGAGAAAGCGCTGCGTCTGCTCTACTGCTCCCTCTGTAAGGTGGCCGTCAACTCTGCGTCACAGCTAGACGCGCATAATATCGGTGAGCAGCTTCTCAGAGCACCTGCACTGAGGCTTTTC